ATACTTTGGCCACCTGATGAGAAGGAAGGACTCCCTGGAGAAGAGCGTCATGCTGGGAAAGACTGAGGGCAAAAGAAGGAGGAGACGACAGAGAATGAGGTGGATGGATGGAGTCACTGAAGCAGCAGGCATGAGCTTAAATGGACTCCAGAGGATAGTAGAAGACAGGAAGCCTGGAAGAACACTGTCCTTGGGGTCGTGATGGATTGGAGACGATTTTGCAACTAACAACAACAAAAATACTTCAATTGTAAATCAAGATCATCATCTTCATTTAATAATCCCTTGCAGGTGGAGTCTGGGCAACCGAATGGAGCTAGCAGAGTGTTTTAATGGCCAGATGCCCTTCCTGACGCCAACACGGAGCTATATTCAGCAGATATATTCACAGTGTGCCCAGAGAGAGAAACATCTGCCTCTACCTACGATCGACCTCATTGTGAGGCGAGAGCTCCACCTCTATCTAGGCCACCGCACCACTCCAATTGTAAATCAAGATCCAGTAATAATTTCAGAGGGTGGTTAGTAAAATCGGTCTCAAATCTCGGTTTAAACTTAAAGAGCCAAACTTCGTGTAGAAGAGAAGCTGATGAAGATTTGGCATTCATTTCTGGTTTAAACAAATGATGGTTTATTAACTGTCAGTCCTGATATCTTCCCTGGTAGTCTTCTATTGAAGCACAAGCTAAGTTCAGCCTTGTTAAGTTTTTTTTAATGTAAATGGCACCATGTTGCTGGGCAATTGTTTTCAAGGGCTTCCATACATATCAGTTGCTCTAAATGGGTGCTTATTTTCTCTTTTTCCACTCTGCTTTTGATATAAAACAAAACTGGCTAAGAATAGAACACTGCACTAACATTTAAACACTGTACACTTATTTTTAGCCTCCTGTTTGTACATAGACATCAAAATGTATTTCCAAACATATTCAGCCACAGAGAGCATTTTCTTTTTTTTTTGCTACTAAAATTCATGTTAATGTTATTTTATTTAGAAAGACTGGGGCGGAGTATAATCAAACATTTGCTCCACAGTGAATTCTTTCTTTGAAATTTCAGGCAAAATAGCTCTCCTTATTTCTTCTTCCCAGTACCTCTCCTGTCATCCCTCCTCTTTCATTTTCAACGCCTTTCCAGTTTTCAAAGTTTTCTCTACAATGGATTACAAGTTATAGCAATATCACTGTGAAAGCACTTTATAGTGCTTTCACAGACCTCTCTAAGAGGTTTATAAAGGTAAATGTAAAGGTTCCCCTCACACATATATGCTAGTCATTACTAGCTCTAGGGGGCGATACTCATCTCCGTTTCAAAGCCGAAGAGCCAGCGCTGTCCGAAGACGTCTCCGTGGTCATGTGGTCGGCATGGCTAAATGCCAAAGGCGCACGGAACGCTGTTACCTTCCCACCAAAGATGGTTCCTATTCTTCTAATGACATTTTTACATGCTTTCGAACTGCTAGGTTGGCAGAAGNCCATTTCAAAGCTGAAGAGGCAGCGCTGTTGAAGACATCTCTGTGGTCATGTGGCCAGCTTGACTAAACGCCAACTCTAGGGGGTGGTGCTCATCTCCGTTTCTAAGCCAATTCCGTGGTTATGTGGCCAGCATGACTAAATGCTGAAGACACATGGAACACTGTTACCTTCCCACCAAGGGTGGTTCCTATTTTTCTAGCATTTTTTACGTGCTTTTGAACTGCTAGGTTGGCAGAAGCTGGGACCAGTAACAGGAGCTCACGCCGTTATGCGGCGCTAGGGATTCGAACCGCCGAACCGCTGATCATTCTGAGCCACCATGTCCCTTCTCTAATCCCTTCCAAAGTGCTATGTTAATTGGGATTGCTGAGAGCTCCAGTCCAAAATGCATGAAGGGCACTACTTGCCTCCATCCCAGTCTCATACTTACGCCATGATGCCTGACAGGTGGAAGACTTCTGCAGACAGATATGCCATGTAACTGTACAGAAAGACGAAAAGAGGTTCGATGACCCGGATGTGGGAGGTAAAGCGGGAGGTGAAGGCTCCAATGATGCCATAGACCATCCCGACAAAGACGCCCCCCAGGGCCACCACAAAGAAGCTCAGGAAGCCCAGGACGATGTCTGTGATGGTGACTTTTGAAAAGCCGACAAACTCTTCAAAAAGGTGGTAGAGTACCTGTAGAGACATAAAGGAGGGAGAGAAAAACCATCTCAGCCCACCAAGGCAGTGATCAGAGGTTGCCAATAGGTGTGCCAACACAAAAGGGAATTACTATCCCACAAAGGGAAGGAGAAAGAGTGGTGCGGTGGCCTAGAGTAAAGCTCTCATCTCACAATCAGGAGGCTGTGAGTTTGATCCTAGGCAGATATTTCTCTCTCTGAGAATGTATCTGCTGAATATAACTCCGTACTGGTGATAGGGAGGCATCCGGCCAGTAAACAGTTTTAATCATGTGAACATGGGGATGCTGGAATGGTCATAAGGGTGGAAAACAGTCAAAAGTCACTTTTTTCAGTGCCATTGTAAGTTTGAACGGTCAATGAACAAACTGTTGTAAGCTGAGGACTATCCAGTACATTAAGGGAGCCGGCAAGGAAGAGTTCTGCACAATTTCTTTCCTTCTCTCATATACTGGCTTCTACATTATCACCTGAGCTGAGTTCTGTGGCATTTCAAATGGAGACATGGGTTTTAATACGGGTATACTTCAGATCCTGAAGGTGAAACTCAAATACTTTGGCCACCTAATGAGAAGGAAGGACTCCCTGGAGAAGAGNATGTACACTGAGAGCATATGCACCAAAGACAAATTCCTTGTGTGTCCAATCACACTTGGCCAATATAGAATTCCTATTCTATTCTATTCTGTTCTATTCTATTCTATTCTTCTTTATGTGCACTGAGAGCATATGCACCAAAGATAAATTCCTTGTGTGTCCAATCACACTTGGCCAATAAAGAATTCCTATTCTATTCTATGACCAGACATCTCACTTATGACCATCACAGTATCCCCATGATCAAAATCCTGATACTTGGCAACTAGTACATATTTACAATGGTTGTAGCGTCCCACTTACAACTCTGCCAGCCGCCTTTAAACATGCGAAGTCAATTGAAGAAGTCAGATTTATTTAATAACTGCCTTGCTTACCAACAGAAATTCTGGCTTCAATTGCAGTCATAAGTTGGGGACTATCTATATACACTAACACTGGACAAAATTCCACTGTGCTCAGTTACTTCACCTCTGGAGTTCAGAGGAGAAATATGAGTTGATATATCTATGCATTTTAGAAGCCACGGTTAAGTTCAGCGACTTACAAGGCTCCAAAATTGGCAACTTTAAGACTTGTGGCTGGCTGGAGAATTCTGGGAGTTGAAATCCACAAGTCTTAAAGTTGCCAAGTTTGGAGAACCCAACTCTAAAGGTTACGATCTAAAGTCAACCTCAACTCCTAGAAACTTCATGGACATAGCAACAAGGCAAAAATGGTCTATTAACAGAGTAGAAGTACATGGATTGGAGGACTGGAAAGAACATGAATAGATGCACTTGAAATGTTTAAGTGATGTGATTGTGATTGGTATTAGAAGTGTACATTGAGACATTAAATAATGAAAAAATGAAGGATGAAATTTTAACATAAATAGATGTGAATATCTAAATAAGGGAAACATTTATTTATTTATTATTTATTAATTAGACTTATATACCGCTTCATAGGGCTTTCAGCCCTCTCTAAGAGGGCTACAGATTTTTTTTTTAGCAAATTGAGTCAACAAATTGCCCCCACAGTCTATGAAAAATAGAAAAGAAATGTCTTTGAATATTATAGTGATATGAAAAAAAAAGTTAAAATAGTGATAGAAATAAGAGGGGAATAATAGTGTGTATGTGTATGTATATATGTATGTATGTATATATATGTGTATGTGTGTGCGTGTGCGTGTGTATGTATGTATGTATGTAT